CGGCCGAACGGGACACTTTAGTCCATAGGCTGATGCTGTATCCCCTGAGCCAAACCTGCAAGGGCCACTTCCTTAATTTAAATATAAAGGCAAGCTCTAGTCCTTGAGTATTAATTTGGTCATATTTGCCAGTTTTTTCCTACCAGTTCTTTTAGCATTTATTGGAAATCCTTTCTGAGAGCCATATTTTTTAATGGTTTAAGGCAAGCAGTTGTTTCCTCTGGGTAATAGAATCACTTTTCTGTTTATTCTAAATGTTCCCTAGTGAGCTCTTGCTGTTTTCATAAAATATAAATCAAGGGTTCCCATGACTCCCCTCCTGAGGTTCAATAATTTGCTAAAATGCCTCACAGAACACGAGAAAACAGGTAATTTACTATCACTGGTTTATTAGCAACCAAATGGAAAAGAGGCATAGGGCAAGGTGGGGTGGGGGGTGCAGAACTCTTATGTCTTTTTCTGGTGTGCCCTCCCAGCACATTGATGTGAACACCAGCCAGCAAGCTCTCTGAACCCCATTGTTTTATGGAGGTTCCATTATGTAGGTGGGAAGGATTAAATCATTGGCCACTGGTGATTAACTTCTACCCTCCTTGGAGGTCAGGGAGTGGAGCTGAAAGTTCCAACCCTCTAATCACCTGGTCTAAACCCTGGGCAGCTAGCCCCTATCCTGAAGCTAGGGGCCCACCAAGAGTCACCTCATTAGCATAAACTCAGGTATAGCTGAAAGAGATTAATTATGAATAACAAAAGATATTCCTATCACCCCTATCACTCAGGAAGTTCCAAGGTTTTAGATCTCTGTTCCAGGAACCAGGATGAAAGCCAAATATATATTTTGAATTATATCACAGTTTCACAGTACCTGTTATGCCTGCCATGTAGAATTGCATATTTGAGATGATGTAGTTGACTAGGGAGCTCAGTACTTCATGTGGGAGCAGGATCTAGTTGCAGTCTGTTAACAGATCTAGTTGCTGCGTGATTCTTTATATTGAGCTACATTTCACTTTATTGTGATGTACACCCACAGTTTTGCTCTCTAGAATAGTATAGAACAAATCTGCTCACTCTTCTGAAAGACTGCCTATCAGATAGAGCTGTATGGTAACCAGCTCTATCACTAACTTACTGTTGAAGTAAATCAGCATGAAAACGGGTAGCTGTACTGAGGACAATGTAATTACTGCTAACCAGCTATTTTCAACCGTTTCATCTCATGGCACACATAAACTAATTGCTAAAATTCTGCGGTACACCAAAAAAATGTATTTTTTGCCATTCTGACAAAAAATAGGTATAATTTTGATTCACACTGGATGGCTATTGTTTTTGTGTTGATTCTTGTCATTTTTTTATTTGACAATCTAAGGGAATACAGGTCAGTGCCCCTGAATAAATAGTCAGGTATTGCATGTTTTAAAAGTTCTTGTGACACACCAGTTAAAAATTGCTGCTGTATATAATCCCCAAAATTACAGGCTTAAAGCCTATTGGTGCTTTGTCCACTTTCACTGTTGTAGTTCTACTTTTCCAGTGAAAACTTATAAAAGTCTACAGAAATAATCCCTTAGGCTCTGCCACCTCATAGACTTCCTTCTCTACTCTCTCATCTTCCCGTGTCCAGCTAAGTTAATAGCTTCTTTGTAATATTCCATTTGACATCGTTTTTTATTTTTCTTCTTATTTTAATTCTTATGAAACTGGACAACCAATGGGTCTGGGCTGCCTGTCACTACTTGAGCCAATTAAGCTGAGACAGGGTTGAATCATATATGAGCGTTTATTCCAATAATGCCAGCAGTATGGGAGAGCAGCAGGTCATCCACAAAAATCTGCTCTTGCCCACCTGGTGTGCTCAGTGGTTGAGCGTCGACCTATGAACCAGGAGATCGAAGTTTGATTTCCGCTAGGGGCACATGCCTGGGTCGTTGGCTTGGTCCCCAGTCTGGGGCATGCAGAAAGCAGCCTATTGGTGATTCTCTCTCATCAGATGCTTCTGTCTTTCTCTGTCTCCCTTTCTCTCTGAAATCAATTTTTTTAAAAACCTGCTCTACCCCTTCCCATAAGCCAGCTGCTCATATTGGGTAGAAGGACAAAGATTACATGGGAAAGTAGGAATTGCAGGCATGGAAAGTGGGCAAGGTGTAATGGTTACAGGTTACAGGCCATGTGGGCTGGGGTGGCAAAGGGCAGGCAAAGGTCGGTGCCTCTAGAGCCAGATTGTCTCAGCAACAAGGTGGTTAATCTTTCCGTGATGATGGGCCGTTCTCGGAAGAGGAGGATGGACTGCATTCTGATGTTGGCTGGAGTACAGCTCTCAGCCAGGTTAGAATGTGCTTTCTCTAATCAGAACAGAACAATCACAATTAACAGAACATGATTAATATTTCTTATAATTATAGCTAGTCCCCACTGTTCTATTTCTGCCCCTAATACTTACCTGAGGACATGATTAGAGAGAGAGAGAGAGAGAGAGAGAGAGAGAGAGAGAGAGAGAAACATGGATCGGCTGCCTTCCTCACACGCCGCAACCTGGGATCGAACTCGTAACCCAGGCATGTGCCCCGAAGAACTGGCAACCCTTCCGTGCACAGGATGACACTCAACCAACTGAGCCACTGTCGCCGGACTGGCATTTTTTTTTTAATACTCATGTTTGGTTTTACCCAAGACTTAACCCTTAAGGAAAACACAACACCGTATTTTGGTGTACAAAGTTCTTTTGCATTTTTATGATTTGACATCTTTCCAGACAATAGAGTAAAAAGCATTCACCCTCATTTTTAAAAAGTTTATTTTAGAAGTGAGAGAAAGGGGGGGGGGGGAGAGAG